AGTCCTAGTACAAGGGCAATGGAACACCCACAACAAAGTTACATCTACGTATAATACTAAATTTGAAATAACAAAAAATAAACCATATCTTCTATTTTTACTGCCGCAAGGCACAAAAGCTAATTGGGTAAATCATATATCACAACACGCTTTACGGCCTCAACTCGGATTGGAAAACGGACCCCAATGTCACACTCTACATTGCAAATCGGAAAGGAGAGGAACCTATGTCAAGGCGTCAACGTTTTACCAGCCTTGGAAGGAAATGGACCAATCACATAATACAACATTCTAGATTAACATGATAATCTATGAATATAACATATATACATATTCTACTCAACAACAATAATGTTATCCTCTACCGATAACTAAGGACAAAACCTCTAACAGTTAAATACACAACTCATAATTTCAAATGCACAACTAGTTCCACAATTTCAAATTATTACCAGTTCCACAATTTCAAATCATTAACGTTTTCAATGAAATCATTTCAAAACAACCATTTCCCCTACTCACTTACCACTTTCCATTTTCCATTTCATTTCACAAAAGACTTACAAACATCATTTTGTTTTCAAAACTAAACCCGTTGCTCCAAATCTTCAACTCTCATAACCATTAGCCAAAATCCCCTTTTAATTGTCAAAATCCCAATTTGTTGAGACACAACCACAACTCAACATGACATAACATTAACCAAATAATCACAAGACTTGATTAACTTCTTTTTTTGCAACCAAAGCTTCAATCCATTAATGTAAACGTATAGTCCAACAATTATTCAACTTTAATTCCTCTTGCTTTATTAAACCCTTAATTACAAATTAGGGCTTATCATTATCCCTATATACATGATTTACCAACCCCCGATTATCCAAATTAACAAAGAAACATAAGATTTAAATTCTCAAGACTTCAAACCCTAAACCCCCTTTCATTTTTTGAAAATCACATAATAAACTCATGTTTTTAATGCGATAGAAAATACCACATGTTTATCTATAATGAGATACTAAAAAGGAGTAAGAAATCCCTACCTCTCGAAGTGAAGAGGAGAAAAGTTGAAAAAACCTATGACTACAAAAACACGATTCGTCCAGATTAAATGAAAGCCCTCACTGAGCTCTAAGTTTCGGTATATGAAACTAGGGGTAGGAAATGTGAAGAAATAAATGAAACTCAAGCTTGAAGGGACATTTCCCTAAATAAGCCAAAATAATAAGGGAATTCCCAAACTAAGCCTAGTTTTGAAAGAATTCCCAAAATGAGCTAACTCGCGGTTTACAATCGCGAGTTCAACACTTTTCCACCCCTGTCACCTGAAACCTGCCAAAATTGAAACTCGCTGTTACGAAAAGCGAGTTTAATTAAGAACTCGCTGTTAGAAAACGCGAGTTTAATTAATTTTTTTTCTTTTGAACTCGCTTTTCACAAGCACGATTTTATCCCACGCTGAACTCGTTTTTTGAAAGCACGAGTTTAGCAGAAAGGATTTTTGCTCTGAACTCGCTGTTTGTAAGCATGAGTTTATCAAAAAAAAATTTCTAATGAACTCGCTCTTTGTAACCACGAGTTCATCAAAACCCACGTTTTAGGAAAAAAAAAATTTCTTCTAACCTCACTCTTTAGAACCACGGTTTTTTGTCAAATTTTTTTATGAACCGCGCTTTTAGCGTAATTTTTTTTTAATTTCAATTTTACTGAACTTTAAAGAAATTATTTTCGTTCTTTTGTTTATGTTGTCATTGTTTTGGTGATAATATATTTCAGAATAATTTTTTTGGTTAAAATTCTTTTACTAAAACCGTTCTCATATTAATTTTTTTTCTTTCCTTTTGTCTTTATTTTGGGTTAGAATGTGTAATTCAGCATTTTTTTTATTTTGTTTGACTAAAGTAAATTTATTTTGTTTTTTCTTGTGTTTGTTTTGGGTTAGAAGGTAATAATGTAATTCATAAATTTTTTGAGCTTTAGTGAAGCCGTTTTGATGTCAATTTTTTTTTTAATTATTATTTCTTTGTTTTGCGTTAAAAGGTGTTATTCAGTAATTTGTTTGGGCTTTAATAAATCTGTTTTTATTTAAATATATATATTTTTTCTTTTGTCTTTATTTTGGGTTAGAAGGTGATAATGTAATTCATAAATTTCTTTTCACTTTACTAAAGCCATTTTCATGTAAAGTTTTTTATTTTTTATTTTTTATTTTTTTCTCTTGTCTTTGTTTTGGGTTAGAATGTGTTATTCATAATTTTGTTTTTGCTTTACTAAAGCCGTTTTCATGTAAATAATATATATTTTTCTCTGTTGCCTTTGTTTTGGGTTAGAAACTGATAATGTAATTCATAAATTTCTTCTCGCTTTACCAAAGTCGTTTTCATGTAAACTTTGTTATTTTTTATTTTTTTCTCTTGTCTTTGTTTTGGGTTAGAATGTGTTATTCAGAAATTGGTTTTGGCTTTACTAAAGCCGTTTTCATTTAAATAATATATTTTTTTTTTCTGTTGTCTTTGTTTTTGGTTAGAAGCTGATAATGTAATTCATAAAACCTTGAGGAAAAAACACATAAGTCTCCCACAAAAATACATAAGTAGTACAAACATAAGTCTCGAACAACAACTGGATCAATTATGTTCCAAATGCATCATGTGATCTTAAATGGATTAGGCATGTTACCATTTTTGAGAACAACAATTGATGTTCCACACATAATTGTCTGGAAATTTCTTGAATAATAGATACGAATGAATGAGAGAAAAGAAAATAAGAACAAATAGAAACTTTTCCAGAATAAAAAAGCAATCCTACAACACTTTTATTTGAATTTCATAGAGAAGAGTCTGAGAAATATTGCAGAAGCAGATAAGCAATATCACAAATGTGCATACTAAAGTAAGCAGCATTGGCTTGTGCCCAAAAACTAAAACACAAACTTCCAAGGGGTACTGTACATTGCTATCTGGCAAGATGTCATTCATGTTGTAACTCTTATGCATTAGCTTCACATAGTCCATTGTCTTCCTTTCCCTCAAGAGTTTAAGGTTACAACCAAGTCTTATGTGATTCACAAAATCATTTCACAGAGTGCTGCCAGCTTTCTGAATTCATTGTTCCTTTCTAGTAATTAATTGATGCAATAGATCCAATAATTGCAAAGTGCAACCGTAGGGTATGATTTAATGAAGTAAAAGGTCTGTGCCATTTTGATTGATTTGAATGGTGAATTATTGCTACTATCTGTTAAAACATGTCAAATGTGACAAAGCTAGAGGCCTATTATAAGTAGTTTAGTTTTACCAAATTCTTTGATGGATAGCCATACCATACAGCATGCTATAAAAAGCTCTCTTTATACTAGCGGTTACTAGATACAGTTACATTTGTGTGTGTGTGTGTGTGTGTGTGTGTGTGTGTGTGTGTGTGTGTGTGTGTGTGTGTGTGTGTGTGTGTGTGTGTGTGTGTGTGTGTGTGTGTGTGTGTGTGTGTGTGTGTGTGTGTGTGTGTGTGTGTGTGTGTGTGTGTGTGTGTGTGTGTGTGTGTGTGTGTGTGTGTGTGTGTGTGTGTGTGTGTGTGTGTGTGTGTGTGAGAGAGAGAGAGAGAGGTTATAATCAGTAGGTTCATAGTGCTCCTATATTATTAATCAATCTAGTTCTGACAGGTTACAAATTGTTTTAATTTTCAGAAATGAATAAAACTTGTGGTGCTACTTTAAAAAAATGTTCTAGATATCAACTTTACAATTAAAGCTTTCATTGCAGAAAGGGAGAAAGAAAAACAAAAAAGGAAGAATCATGACAAGAACTATCAGAAGAAATTTTAAGTTGGTTTGGAGAACCTTGCTCTTATAACATCTAACTTAAAATGAAGAGTTAAAAAAACAAATCAATGAAAAGGAAGCCATGTGCATAAGATTTCTTTAATCACCTTCCCGATGATGACGAAGTGACAATTAAGTAGCATTCTACATTTTTCATATTCTTTGCATGGGAATGAATTTGCACCTGTTGCATTAAATTCAAATCCTTGTGATAAAAAAAGGGTATGTACTTGAAAAGAAATTAAGCATTCAAGTATCAATTGAGAGGCAGTCCCCAATTTCACTCTTAGAACTTAATCTGCAATTAGGGCATTTGGGTGAAAATTGATTAACATCCCCCATCATTTTGTGGGCCAAACTTGTCTAGTTGAGTTAAAAGTAGAAAGTTTTCCTATTGTTTTGCACAATGAGTAACAAATCTTTCCTAGATCTAAGCACCATGTCATACCTATATATATATACATATATATAGTACAAATGCATTATTTTCCTAGCTACAGTAAGTGGTTAATTAGGTTGTCAAGCCACAACTATCTACTCAAGTTCACTACTGTCTGTTCCTTTTACATGGCTCCAAATGCATTATGCATAATATCTCCTTAGTGTTACTGGATGCTCATATAAATGTAACTAGAACCCAGTTGAAAAATAAATAATAAGAAAACCAGAAGTTATAGCCAAAAAAACCCATCAATATGTAAATCCCTCGAATTCATCATACAAACATAACAAATGAATTTAAGTACCTCAACATATGAAGCAATGGAATCATAACCACTTGAAATGCAACAAACCAGGCAAAAGATTAGGAAAGGAATGCAAAATCATGGCAACAATTATAGCAGGATATGAAGTCGTACCTTAAGTGCGCAATTGTCATCACTGTGTAAAAGTCCATTCAGCTTTATCTGAAACCATCATAAGATAGTAAAAAAGAAGTATGATTGGACTTCTATAGCCATCCATTCAATCTATGATGTTCATAATTTATTCTCCCCAGAAAACATTAAATGTAAAAAGATGAACAACCAAACATAATTCTTCAAAACTACCTACTGAGAATAATGTGAACTTTTTCAGTTGAAATACTAAAAAAATGAGCAATCAGAGGAATATATATTGTCACATGAAGCATACCACTAATATCATGTCAGGATACTCTTTCAATAGATCTTCAATAACAAGCTCCAACACCTAAAAGTATTAAAAAATAAATAAATAAATAAATTAACAGAGTTACAACTTAAACCGGCCAAAACAAACTAATCAAAGGCATTGTGTTTTACCGCAATTTTTCCACAGCCACGGGGACCAAGAAGCAGAACTGAGTTGTTACATGCCTCAGTAACCGAACTTGATACTATAAACTTCAACTTACTGAAATTAAAATAAAAAATAAAAAATAAAGCTTGAATTTACTTAGTTCACTTCTCATCAATTTACAGATTAAGCACATTACGAAATCAATCAAAGTAAAGACCGGGGAGACGGGAAATAGAAAAAAAATAAAATGAAATGGTAAACCCTGTTTGGTTACTGAGAAAATGAACATTTTTTTTTTTTAATTTCTCAGCAACCAAGCGAAAGGGTTTAAGCATGCAGAGAGGGGTTTGGACCTGTAGTTGCTGTCGGGAGAGTCAGAGAGAGAAGTGAAGATGAAATTAGGGTTGCAGAGTCGGCTTCGAAGGAGGATTAGGGCTTCCTCAGCTCGTTTTTCTCGTCCCATTTTTTGGGTACAGCAACTCCAACACTACCAGCTAAAATAGCTAAATAAAAAAACAAAAAACACGTTATTTTAGCTTACCATTCTTTAACAAATCTCTCTATTTTAGCTAAATATTCAAACTTAACAGATTTTCAAAAGAAAAATGCTAACTGCATAGATAAAATATTCATTTGGGTTTGAGTATTAGGAATAAATCTATCAGGAATAAATCTCTTTCCATAAAATTCAATATTAAAAAAAAAGGAAAAAAAAAAACGTATACAAGTTTTTGCTTATGAATTCCCAATCATATAAAAATAAAACTCTAAAATGGTAGGTTTAAGAAGAAAAATATCAAGGGAATTTTGTGTCTAATTGTTTCCTTTTTGAGAAAAGATAGAAAATGGGGCATTTCCCTAAATAAGCCAAAATAAGAAGGGAATTCTCAAACTAAGCCTAGTTTTGAAAGAATTCCCAAAATGAGCTAACTCGTGATTCACAATCGCTAGTTCAACACTTTTCCACCCCTGTCGCCTGAAATCAGTAAAAGTTTAAACTCGCTGTTAGGAAAAGCAAGTTTAATTAAGAACTCGCTGTTAGAAAACGCGAGTTTGATTAAATTTGTTTCCTTTGAACTCGCTTTTTACAAGCACGATTTCATGCTGAAATCGCTTTTTGAAAACACGAGTTTATCATAAAGGTGAACTCGCTGTTTGTAAGCACGAGTTTAGCAAAAAAAAAAATTTCTAATGAACTCGCTCTTTGTAACCACGAGTTCATCAAAACCCACGTTTTATGAAAAAAAAATTTCATCTCACTCTTTAGAACCACGGTTTTTTACCAAATTTTTTTATGAACTGTGCTTTTAGCGTAATTTTTTTTTTAATTTCAATTTTACTGAACTTTAAAGAAAAAATTTTCGTTCTTTTGTTTATGTTGTCATTGTTTTGGTGATAATATATTTCAGAATAATTTTTTTGGTTAAAATTCTTTTACTAAAACCGTTTTCATATTAATTTTTTTTTCTTTCCTTTTGTCTTTAACCACGAGTTCATCAAAACCCACGTTTTATGAAAAAAAAAAATTCATCTCACTCTTTAGAACCACGATTTTTTGCCAAATTTTTTTATGAACCGTGCTTTTAGCGTAATTTTTTTTTTAATTTCAATTTTACTGAACTTTAAAGAAAAAATTTTCGTTCTTTTGTTTATGTTGTCATTGTTTTGGTGATAATATATTTCAGAATAATTTTTTTGGTTAAAATTCTTTTACTAAAACCGTTTTCATATTAATTTTTTTTTCTTTCCTTTTGTCTTTATTTTGGGTTAGAATGTGTAATTCAGCATTTTTTTATTTTGTTTGACTAAAGTAAATTTCTTTTGTTTTTCCTTGTGTTTGTTTTGGGTTAGAAGGTAATAATGTAATTGATAAATTTTTTGAGCTTTAGTAAAGCCGTTTTGATGTCAATTTTTTTTTAATTATTATTTCTTTGTTTTGCGTTAAAAGGTGTTATTCAGTAATTTGTTTGGACTTTAATAAATCTGTTTTCATTTAAATATATATATATTTTTTCTTTTGTCTTTATTTTGAGTTAGAATGTGACAATGTAATTCAAAATTTTTTTTTTCACTTTACTAAAGCCATTTTCATGTAAATTTTTTTATTTTTTATTTTTTTCTCTTCTCTTTGTTTTGGGTTAGAATGTGCTATTCAAAATTTTGTTTTGGCTTTACTAAAGTCGTTTTCATGTAAATAATATATATTTTTTTATGTTGTCTTTGTTTTGGGTTAGAAGCTGATAATGTAATTCATAAAACCTTGAGGAAAAAACATATAAGTCT